CCGCCACCAAGGTAAACAAGCCCACCAAGTATGTAAAATATGCAAGTAACAATTATCATCACTTTGATGCATATTTTGGCGCCGCTGTCATCCATAACGAAACGATTTTGCTATCACAAACAATACCACTTGAATTTATGTACTATTTATTTGAATTGATACATGCATTTGACAGACTGTCATTGGCCACCTCCAGCAAAATGCTTGTTTACGTCTTTTTAAAGTCAGTTGCGTCAGTTGCATAGATAAGGGATACAAAACTCTGTCCAACCTATATTACAGATAGGCAACTCAATACAAACATTTTGTTCTTACAGTGGCTAAATAAACCTTTATACAGTGGCGACAATAGAGGCCCTGCCGCCATTTTGTTCCCAACCTCTTGTTACTTTATTTTGTTTTAAGGTCACTGAATCCGTCGGCAACTTTGCCTAGATAGGTAGCGACCAAGGTAGCGACAAGTCGATATCAAAATTTTCCAAAACGAGTCACATTGGCGTTCGTCTACCTTCTTCTACTCATGTCATTCGGAGAAAAAGTACTTTTTTCTACTGACGTTTCATAATAGCAACTTTTCGATTGTCATTTCAGTTTTGAAACGACATTCTTTTAGGCACTGAGTGCGTGAAAGTTACTTTTAGGCACTCAGTGCGTAAAAGTGACTTTTGAATGCGTAAAAGTGACTTATGAGTGCGTAAAAGTAATTTTTAAGCACTAGTGCCTAAAAGTGTCATTCATTATTCAGAAATAAAAAACACACTAAACACATATTTGAATTTTGTTTTGTATTTATTATGAATATTGAAAATGGAATTACTGAATTGAACGTTTGGGTTACTCAAAACAGAAGTTTGTGTTATTACCTACTTTCTAGGATTTTAATTATTGATGTCGAATTTTGAAAAGAAAATCGCATGAAAAGTGTCAGGTGTCAAGTAAAAGCAGGTAACAAAGATTTTGGGTGTAATCGACTTATTCACATGAAATAAAATTGTGTTTTTTTATTATAAAATGCCAGTAGAAAAAATCTTGTATACAATACGTTACGAAACGATGTCTTTTAGTCACTCGACGTGTTGTCCAACTCGGCTTTGCCTCGTTGGACAATTTTCACGTCGCGTGCCTAAAAGACGCTCATTTCGTAACTTATTGTATAAATAGCTATTTTGTACGCGCACGGAACGCGCGGACAAAAAAGTAACCAAAAAAATGACGTCTGTGAAGTCAGACTTCAACATTAAGAATTGAGGTTAAAAAAGTCGTCATTTTTTGACGTTTGCGGAAAATAGTATATTGTTGTATTAGGAGTAGAAGCTTTACTTTTTTGTGCTGAAGCAGTAGGTTTGCGAGCCGAACGTAGTGAGGCTTGCAATACTGCTGAAGCACAAAAAAGTGCTTCTACTCCGTATGCAACACGCTATTTTTTCTCCAAACGAATGGGGTAAGCTCGGGGGTAACTGAATGGTTAAGCGGCAGTAAAAGTACGAGCGGCACTAAAAGTACTTTTGATGTCGCTGCGGTTGCCTAGCAGCATTAAAAATTAAATTTCTACCACCTCGACAGGTGTTAACCCGCTGGATTTGCCTACCAGCATAGAAATTAAATTTCTAACATCTTGACAAGTGCTGACAATGTGACGTTTTTTTGACGTTCGGAGAAAAAATATATTTTTCTGTGATTGACAAGAAATGTCAACATTTTTGATCGGTTGACAGGTCGCAAAACTCAATATTCTGGTATTTTAATTATTTTTCAATAGTTACTAAGGAATCGATGAATAACAATACGGGAAATTCCCGTACTGCTGAACAATTAGAACAAAAAGACAAACATTTAACAGATATTTAACCGATCGCAGAAAAAATAGTGTATTCGGTGTTTGCCGGCCTCGGCAACGCCTCGTTCGTCAACTTACACCGTCGGCCGAGAATGTGTCACTTTTCCACCTAAATACACAATATACTATTTTCTGCAGTTGACAAATTTTCTACGTTTTTGACCGTTTGACAGGCCGAAAGCTCAATATTCTGGCAGGATCAATGGGCAGAATGTTAAGCCAAATGTATTGTCATGGAAACTATAAACCCATGCCAAATTTACAGTCGTTCGGATAGGTAGAAATCAGTTAAAATTCACTTGCCAACCCAAAATCTACCATTTTGAATTCTCCAAATATTATTCATAGATAGTTTAGGTACCTGAAGTAGATGGATTCGAAGATTTTGCTGCTTTTTTCAGATCACTAGGTCTTGTGTACCTTTTTCTGCACTCAACATGAACGACACCACTTTTAATTGTTTTGAACAAATGATGTTTTTCATCTCTTCGAGTAAGACTAGCTCTTATCAACGATTTTACTCCTTTATCACTTACTTGACTACTTGCATTACTTGCAACTGTTTCATCACATAATATGATACACTTTTCACTCATTTTTACTATTACATATAAAAATATACTGCTACGAAATCGTTAACGCCAGAAAAACGGCGTCCGCCAGGCTGTCAAGAATCGATGGCGGAAATACTAGAATCTAGCGAATTATTCTACTTTAATCTGGAAAATTAGATTATCGTGTGTATTCTCTCTTTACAGGAATAGATTTAGGGATATATAAGAAGGCCGGCATTGGTTTGTAAGTTAAGTTAAAGTTTGACTGTGATACGAGTTAGTGATTATTGAGTTGTAAAGTTTAATTGTTGAGTTAGTTATTAACGTAATTAGTGTCAGAGTGTTTTGTTAAGTGGAATAAATTATTGCTGTGTTAATTGGACTTTGATTTTTGGAATAAACGAAACGAACGACGAACCCAAGATTTTTGTCAGCTGGCAACCCAAAGACGCGACAATACTGTTATATACAAGATAATCTGCCGCAAATCCCTCTCCTGCCACTTGAGGTACTTTCTAGTGACCCACTATAGAGTTATTCCGGAGCAGCTCCAGTTGCAAATTGAAAATGGACGGATTTCTCGTTTTTATTTAACCAATTATTTAAAGTAATTGTAAACGCTTTTTGACTTCTCAATTTAATTAAGTTGGACATGTTTTGTTGATAAACTGTAAACTTGTTCCATTTATTTAAACTTGGAGGCTGACGTATCACAAACTATTAATAAAAAGTTCAACTATACGAATGCCGAATGCGTGGATGACTCCACGAATAACACCAAGACGAGCGCACGTCTCCTTTGATTCATGCACGCTACGCTCGTGTTCAATCACATTGCAAAAATCACGCTCACTTGGAAACTTGTTACATAAATAGCTAATGTATACAGGGTAAACTAGCTGTACCTACTAATTATACGTATTCAACTAAACAGCATACGAAGTAATTAAAACAGTTAAGTATAGAGCTTCAAAACGAAACTTGTTTAACGAGCATTTTACTAGGGAAATGTTAAAACGTATCCCTAAACTTCCAAACACTCTAACTACTACTATGAGTCTGGTAAAGTGGCAAAATTATATCTACGTGCTTTTGAAAAAAATGTTTTGGTCTACAACTTTTTGCTTACTGTAATATCAAGAAAAAAATTAAAAAAGGGATATTTACGAGATACCTTAACCGCTACCACTTTTCTTGACAAATATTCATATTCAGCAGCTCATATCTGGAAACCGGTAACACTAGGCTAGAAACACAAAGACATCATTCGAAAGTAAATTTTATAGGCTTCAATTTCACGAAATAAATTTTTTTGTGGGAAGCACCATTCTCGAGATAAAAGCCAAAAACTGAAAAAAGTGACCTTTGGGTCGCCCCCCTCCACCTCGTGGCCCATGAAATCGACGGGACTTTATGAGACGTTGTTTAGAACATCATCCCCTATACATTCTTGAAAAAATCGGAAACCCATCATTTAATGCGAGACCGAAACCTATTTTGCCTTGAGTATTTGTGAGAACAAGGATATCTTTAAGGGTAAAAATGACGAAACTGGTAAAGCCGCGTATCGATTTCGCGACGCAGCCGCGCGCGGCAAAAAAACTTTATTTGCCGCGCGAACCATTTGAGACACGAACTTTGTTAAAGCGCGGCTGCCGCTCGCGGCATGCGATCCAGATTTTTGTTTAGTTTTCGCGAAGCAACCATGGACGTTTCACGTGCATGAGCAGCCTGCCCTGCCGCAAAACGTCATTTTGCCGCGCCATCCAACTCTAATAACGACACAAGCGTCTCAACTTGGAGCGAGCATTTCCTTTGCCGCGCTCCAAAAACCGACAGAAATTGGTTCGCACCGCGGCGTGTTCGAGCACGGGTTGGCTCGCGCGGCAAGTAGTATCCATTGAGCGCGGATGTCGCGCGAGCCAATGTTTGACAGTTTGCCGCGGGTAATTGACACGCAGCTTAAGACGAACATCATCAAGCATGGCAGTGCTCATCCGATCTGTCAACCACCTAGAAGACTTCCCATGACCAAACAACAAGAAGTTGGGTCATGAGTAGACAATATTTTTGCAGAGGGAGTTGTTGAAAAGTTTTCAAATCCGTGTTCATCGTCAATTGTACTATGTAGTAACAAAAAAAGATGGATCTTCTAGATTTTGCCTCAATTACAGCAGAAAGCTGTAAAACCATATCAGACTTACCTATAATAAAAAAAAGAAACTTTGGTAAACTCACAAAGAACTATATGCAGTGACATGGCTTAAAAGAAAAAACTACACTTGAACTTCTTTGGAATTGAAAAACTTTTTATAGCCAACTGGTTACCACAATCACCCACAAAATTCTTGATCATGGGGATGTGAATACAATGAAACTAAAGTTTGATTCAGACTTTGCCCTAAGGACGACCAGCGAAAAATAAATTTCTATATCACCTGTGTAACTTTTGTCAAACCGTATTTCAAAATATGACGTGATCGTCAGTTTTAAATGTTTTACAAAGTTTTATTAAGCTTTTACAGACCAAGACAATGAATATCTTTAATTTTATGATATATTTCAATGCATTTTAATGACCTGAAATATTTGTAAGTATCCACATTTTACTAAAATACATATAACCATAAATCGAAAACTACCAATTCCTTTTCAGATTACTAATTATCATTGTTTTAATAAAAGGAATAAATAACACTTATACTTTACAAAAACCGCAATCCAACATTGAGGAGTTATCGAAGTTTAATCCAACAATAGAGAAACGGAGTGGTGTTGCTTATAACGCTCAAAAAAGGAACAAACTATTAAATAGGGCCGATATTCGGCATGCTTTACGCAAAAAATTGCACAATTTTCATGATAGATTCACATCAGACAACGTTTCCGATAAAAAAGTAAGATATCGTCATTCGAGAAGTCAAAAGTTATTCGAACATTCACAGGGCGAAAAAAAATTAGGTGAGCAATGTAATGAATAAGTTCTTTCTCAAATCATCATTACCGCTCATTCACGGTTATATAATTTACTTTTCCAGATTATTTAGAAAATTCAAAGCGTTTGAAACGATTAAGTGGCGACCTATTACAATTAGATAATAATAATATTTTTACCGAAGCAAATCCTTTTTTAAGAAACTTTGCCGAATATCATAATAAAGAAAACAATATGGTAAGAAATTTTTTACACTTGTAATCGTGATACAGGGTGGGCCAACAAACGAAACAATATTTCCTGCTGATCCCATTCAAAGTGTTTATGAATTGGAATTTTGGTAATCGTTTCAAAGGATGCAACCACAAAAAAAAATAGTTATACAGGGTGTTTTGGAACTTAAACTCAAATATCTTTATTAATGTTTCGAATCTTTATGCCCACCCTGTATATCTATTAATTTTCAAATAAATTCAAAGCTGATTATTGGTTTTAGAACAATGAGCTTTCAAATTTATTACAAACGTCTACCGTTCCAATCCAAACCGATGAGCCTCTTGAAGAGGCCGAACAAATGTTAAAAGAATTAAATAGGGCGAAAAGTAGTACTCCTTTTCCCACACAAAACCCACTATTCACCTACACTGTTGATGCTCAACCGGAAGTAAATGTAAAACTTTTATCAAAACTTCGTAAAGACCTCAATTTGATAAACGAACTTCAAAAAGTGATTAACGAAGTGACAATCAGTAAAAGAGAAAAAAGAGATTCAATGGAAAATCAAAAGCAAGCTTTAAAGCCACCTCCTCCAGATACGGAAATCAACAAATACGATTTTATAATGAATGAATTTATAAAAGCTAAATTGTGCCAAATGCGTAACGAAAGCAAAGCTCATTCGGAGAAATGTTATAAACGAAATTGATCTATTTTTTTTTTATAGGGTAAGCTTAGACTGGGTAGCTAATAAAAACGAAACAACGATTACCAAAAGTCCATTTGTACACCCTTGATTAGGCACTTTTCATTTAATTTTTTCGTTTTCGGATGTATAGCTTCATGTGAGGTAAATTGTAAATGATTGTTTCGTTTTCATTGGCCACCAAATGTTCTTATTTCAGCAAGTTTTTACTTTTAATTTTTCTAGATTAAGCGTGAAGATAGTCTAAGTGCCAGTACTGATTCAACCACTAGAGATTGGACTTATCACTACGAACAGTTTGATTGGCCTACTGGGACAAAAAGAGGTGACGTCAAATTCAAAAAAAAACCTCTTCAGTAACTATATTTAAAGGTTTTTGTCTAGGTTAGTTAGGACAAAAAAAACGACACCCCCACCCGAGCAAGTTTCTAAACAAATTTCAATAAGGAGTGAGACAAAATCTGAAGGTAAAAGTAAACAAGTGAAATCACTTTTAATATTTGCTGGGGGACTTTTCAGATTCCCACACAGAAGACAGTCTTCTTCAAGCGATACCTGAAAAAAAAATGACCCCCTGTGAATATTGTGATGATGATGGTAAACAATCTGGTAAAACTATCAAGACCACAGTGCAAGCTGAAACTCAAAAAACTGGTAAGTCAAAAGAAACCGAATCTAAAGGTAACCAAGTAAAATCACATTCAATATATTGTTACTTATACGGGTTCGCAGATAAGTGAGACTACTTTTTCGAACTTTTTTAAACACAATAACATAAAAATCACACGAAATTTAACACTACTTTACACTCCAAACTACTCCAAATAAAGCTTATACGGCACGATTATTTTCGAACGTGGTTATTTAGTTCCTGACTTTACAGTTTACTGCACTTGTCGTACGTCAATCAGAACTGATCCTTACGCGGTGCGCACCGGGACTTTTATAGTTATGTGCATCTTTCTCTAACACGCTCGAATTTTCGTGATTCAGTTTATCTTGAAAAAAGTCTAATGGCGTTTCCGATTGGTAGATCTAGTGCGGAACCAGTGCAATTTTTTCTATTTCTGTCTTTTTCTTCTACAGGTTGCTTAAAAAGATGCAAATACACTCAGTGCGCACTGAAACTACCAATCGGAAACGCCATAATTTTCTGGCTTCTTTAACTGTAGTTACAGGGGGCAATCAAAAAGTACGAGTGGCGGGTTTATAACAATTATTGTCCAACCTATCTTTTCAGATTCCCACACAGGAGACAGTCTTCTTCAGGCGATACCTGAAAAGAAAACGACCCCCTGCGAATATTGCGATGATGACGGTGAACAATCTGGTAAAACTATCAAAACCACAGTGGAAGCTAAAACTCAAAAAAGCGAAACTAGTGGACAAAAGTCAATTACTCGTGAAACTGGAAAGTCGAAAGAAATCGAAGGTGAGAAGTCAACTCCCTCTCAAGATGAGACTGAAGAAAGTACAAAAGTAACTGGTGGAATTGAAGATGAAGGGTCAACCGATAAACCTCCAAAAGAAACTGTGGAAGAAGAAGAGTCCACAAGAGAAACTACTGAATTTGAAGGCGGAACATCAACTGTTGAGCCTACAGAAGCTGGTAATGGTGAAGAGTCTTCCGTTGGTGAAGAACAACAGTCTACAGAAGAAGGTGAAGTTTCGGATGAAACTGACGAATCTGAAGACGAAACGTCAACTGTTCAGGCTATAGAAACCGATGAAGGTGAAATGTCTACAGAAGGCGGAGTTACAAAAGAAACTGATGAATTTGAAGGCGAAATGTCAACTAGTCTGCCTACAGGAACTGATGGAAGTGAACAGTCCTTTTCTGGAGAAAAACAGCATTCGACAAAGGAAGATGAAGAAGAAACTAGTGAACTTGAAAGCAAGAAGTCCACTGTTCAGCCTACAGAACCTGGTGTAGGTGAAAAGTCAATTGCCATGTCTTCTTCTGCGGAAGAAGAACAATCTACAGATGAAGGTGAAGTTTCAATGGAAACCAGTGAATTTCAAACCAAAAAGTCAACTGTTCAACATCCAGAAACAGTTGCAATGTCTTCTTCTACTAAAGAACAGTCAACAGAAGGCGAAATTCCAAAAGAAACTGATGAATTTGAAGACGAAACTTCAACAGAAACTGATGAAAGCGAAAAGTCAGTCGCAATGTCTTTTTCTGAGGACGAACAACAATCTACAGAAAAAGGTAAAATTTCAAAAGAAACTAGCGAATCTGAAACCAAAAAGTCAACTGTTCACCCTACAGAAACTGGTAAAGGTGCAATGTCTTCTACTAGGGAAGAACAACAGTCTACAAAAGAAGGTGGAATGTCGAAGGAAATAAGTGAAGGCGAAAGGTCAACTATACGGCATACAGAAACAGGTGAAGGCGAAAAGTCAGTTGCAATGTCTTCATCCACAAAAAAAGATGAGACTGCACAAGCTGAAAAGTCATCAGTTAAACCTGAAGAAGAAACGTCAACTGGTGAGGCTGAGGAAGCAGAAACTAGTGAAAAGTCAGCTACCGTTCCAGAAGAGTCCGATAAACTTACAAAATCCGAGGATGAAGAAGCAGAAAATACTAGATCTGGGACATCTGCGAAACAAGTAAAAACTACTCACGTAGGTTTGGATAATATGTTAACGTCTTCGCCTACTCATGAGAATGAAGAATCAAGAGAAACCATTGAATCTGAACGGGATGCAACTACTAGTGGAAATGCAAAGGCCAAAGAAACTGGGGAAGATGAAAATGAAACTCCAAAGCATGGTTCAGAAACTAAAAAAACAACCAGTGAAGGCAAGCAAACGACTCTAGTTGAAGAAGGTGCCACTGAGAGTGTTAGAGAACATGATACAACAAAATCGTTTAGTGAGAATGAAGAGCATAAAACTATAGAAGAGAGTAGTAGAGCAAAATCGACAACCACTAGAATTGATGGAAAAAAAGAAAATGCTACTTCTGGCAAAAGTGAACATAGTACAAAATCTGATTTCACTGGTAAAAAATTAACATCAAAAGGTGTTGAAGAAGCGTCGGCTGAAATTGGGGAGACTACAAAAGCATCGGAAGAAAAAGCACATAAAACTGAAACCACAAAAGGTGAAGCTGGTGAGAGGAAATCATCCCTTAAGCCAAAAGAAACTTTAGAAGAAGGTCAAAAAACAACTTCTACTGCAAAAGAAGAAGTACAAAAAGAAGATGAAGACGAAGAACTTTCGGAAACTGAACCTAGTGATCCTCATACAGCTGCAATAAATACTGATGAACTAAGGAAATTAGATGCAGTAACGGAATCTCATAACGAATCAATAGATGAAATAGACGAAGAAATTTCAAAAACTATTAATCATCAGGCAGTTACTACAATGAACACTGAAGAACTAAGAGAATTAGACGCAATAACGGAATTTCGTAACGAATCAACGGGTAAAAAGAGCACGCAGGAAGAGAAGAAACATATCCCAGACACTACTACAGTGCCTGTTGGATCAGAAGCTGAAAAAACTGAAGCTGGCAAAAGTGTAAAAACAACTACTGAAACCGAAGTTAGTGCAACAGATCTACAGAAGACAACTGGTGGAGAAAAAGAAAAAACAAGTACCAAGATTGAAGGACCTAAAGGTAATACGATAGTGACGACATCAACTGGTGGCAAGAAAGAAATAAGTACTGAAAGTACTGATGATGAAGATCTACTTCAAACGACTAGTATATTTATTGAAGAATCAACCCAACTTGAATATACATCAGAATCCTTCGATAAAATTTCATCAGAACTTGTAAAAGAAGCTGCGTCGACACAAAAAATTGAAACGCCTGAGATTTCAGACGACAAAGAGTTATCACAAGAGTTAGTGACTATTGATCAAGAATCAGCGCCTTCAATACAGACAACCGTGGAAATTGCTAAAAACGCTTTAGACTTTCCAACTACTCTATGTGCATATTGTAAAACAACTCTTAAGGAATCTGAAATTGTTCCATCTGAAGCTACTAAAAGACAACATACTTCACACGAAACTAAAACTTCTGAGATTTCATTTGATGAAGCAATATCATCATCATCATCATCAAAACTGACAATTTCAGTTGGAATAGAGACCACAACTAAAGAGCCAGTTGGAATAGAGACTATAAACAAAGAGACAGTTGGAACAAAGACTGCAACCAAAGAGACAGTTGGAACAGAGACTACAAACAAAGAGACAGTTGGAACAAAGACTACAACCGAAGAGACAGTTGGAACAGAAACTACAATCAAAGAGGCAATTGGAACAGAGAATACCATCAAAGAGGCAGTTGGAACAGAAACTACAATCAAAGAGGCAGTTGGAACAGACGCTACAACCAAAGAGACAGTTGGAACAGATACTAAAACTGAAGAGTCCGTTGAGACAGAGACTACAAACAAAGAGCCAGTTGGAACAAAGACTACAACCAAAGAGCTTGTTGGAACAGAGACTTCAATCGAAGAGACAGTTGGAACAGATCCTAAAACTGAAGAGCTCGTTGAAACAGAGACTACAAACAAAGAGCCAGTTGGAACAAAGACTACAATTAAAGAGCTAGTTGGAACAGAGACTTCAATCGAAGAGACAGTTGGAACATTGACTACAACCAAAGAGACAGTGAAAGCAACAAAAACAGGCCAGGCCCAAACTGAAACAGAAGTTACTTTGAGTAAAACAACATCGGAACTTGAAAAAACTGCTCCAGACTTTGAAACTACTTCTACTGAATCAAAAGCCACTACGATACAACATACTAAATCTGAAAACGCTCCAGACTTTGAAACTACTTCTATTGAATCACAAGCCACTGTAATACAACATACTGAATCTGACACGTCCAAAACAATAATAGAAAAACCTGTTTTATCTACAACTAAAACAGATATAAATCATGTCTCTGAAACAATAACAGAAAACCCTATTTTATCTACAACCGTAATAGACAGACAAGATTTAGAATTTCCTACAACTAGTTGTAAATATTGTTCACAAACTGTAACCACTAGAAAGATATTGACAAGTGACTACGAGGACCAAACCGAAAGCATCGCTAGAATTTCTCCCGCCGGTAAAACAACTACAATAAAACACACCAACATAGGAATGTTCCAGAAAAACATGGTGTTTATAGTGAATAATACCAAACATTTCAACAAAGAAATGTTGGAGTCGTATATGAACGTTACACTACCCGACGTTCAAATGGTTTACGTTGACTTGAACCAAGAAAAAGAGGAGCCAAAGAAACATCGGCATTATAAAGGCCAGAGGATTACAGAAACCGAGAAATGCACATCAGATTTTAGCAAAGGGATTTATTGCCTTTGTGATATTTCAAGTTATTTGAAGGTTTTGTTGAATCGAGTGAATAATGGACAAAGAATAAGAGCGCAAAAGGATTATTGCAAGAAATATTTGAAATTAGATAGGGGGTTGATTATAAAGCCATTCCATATAAAAGAGGTTGGAAGAAAGAAGAGAGGGTTGATTTTTATGGAGAATCAGAAAAAGGAGGAAAAACATCATGTTTTTGATAGTATTGAGAACTTGTTTGCTGAAGAATTCAATCTTACGTTAACAGGTGACATATGAAAATACCTTGACCAAAGTGGGACACTTGCATGAAATTTATAGGTGTCCCAATTTGCCAATAAATTATCCTTTTGAGGCTAAATCAATTAATTTTCAGGTGAAAGTATGTTCTGTTTACTAGGAGAAACCATACTAGTTCCTTGTAAAATTCATATAAACGAAGACACTGAGGTTGTATGGAAATTTCATTCTCTAAGTTCCAACGAAGGTTTGTTCTAAATAATAATCTACACAATACCATAAAGTCAATCTTTTTAGATATAATCTTGCCTGAAAAAATTCCAAAACTATTAATACATGGTGCCGCAATAAAACACGCAGGCAACTACACTTGTTCAGCAGCACTAAGTAACCAAAATACCACAATAATTGATCACTGGCGGGAATTGGAGATAATCACTTTTCCTGTTTTTGACATTCACATGACGATTTATTATAAGATTAATAGTTCTTGTAGCCTAAAACTGGGAGATGTGGTACAGACGTATTTGCCTAAAATTATTATGCCTTTTGTGTGTCCGAAGGATTACTATGACATTTGTAGTATGGAGATGGAGAGGCCCAGGTGCATATCTAGGGTAAGAATTAAATTTAATTTGGGTTGTTAACGACTGATAGTAAATGTTGCTAGGAATATAAATCAGCAATATAAATCATCATCTCTCAATAAGAAGATTATTATTTCAGGAAGACGATAACTACTTCAACGTAACACTGGATATAAAAATGAATCTCGATTTCCTATTGCAACTAGAAGCTTTGTGCAATATCAATTGTAAACTAAGGATTTATGAAAATTTAGTTCACACTCTCTATAACACTTTGGAAACGATTCAACACGTACCAGGTAAGTGTAACTTCCAACCAAATTATTCTATCCTAATTGAAAGTTTTTTATTAGTTTACTATCACCTTGAAGAGTCTGATACAATTATTTTCGTGCCACACACAAGTGGAAAAGCAGATAGTGCCGTTAGGATTATACCACCAAAAATCATAGTCACTTGCCAAGATGGATTTGGGCTGGAAAGTAAAAAACGGAGTGTATGTGGTAAGTTTTTGAGTCTAGAAGTCCGTTCACAATACTTTAAACGACCTGACTGGCAACTTAACTTAACCAACTTTGAGTTGAACTGCTATATTCTTATAGGGCTATTCATATTAAGTTGTCTAAGGACATGTTTATCAGTGGGCAGTTATTGAGTTTAACTGTCAGTTAACTAATAATAATTATTTGTTAATCGATAGCTAAATTTGATAACTGTCCACTGATAAACGGGTCCTTAGTCAAGTCGTTTAAGTTATTGTGAATGGGCTTTAAAGGCTTAGAAATTATTATTATTATTAATATTTTTTAGTTGTTTGTCCTCCTCAAACGTTTAGTGACGAATCAAATGCCTTTTGTAAATCATGCCCTTTGGGACATTATCAACCAGATTCTGGCAGTAAAGTTTGCCTTCAGTGCAGTTCACCTGTTGACGATAAATTATGCCTAAGAATGCTGGTAATTTTTTTTATAAATGTTTACGCTTGTTATTCACATGTCAATTTCCAGTATACCGATACCAAATTATTCAAAATCTACGTTGGAGTATCCTTTGGTTTTATCATCCTAATGGTTATACTAATAGTGGTATGGACGAGTGGGCTTCACAATACCGATAGAGGACAAAATTACGAAGGGTCGTTGAGACATAGGGTCGCTGCCAAAACTCCTAGAGACTTGGAAACAGGGGTGATGGAACCGCTTTTACTTAAGAGAAATACACCCCCACCTTTGCCTGAGGTTGATTTTTAGACTAATATTATGTGGATTAAGTTAATTAAGTTTTAAGGATATAATATTATTTTGTCATAATCGCTGTGTGGAAAAAATAATTATGAGAAATATAAGTAAAGTATAAGAGAGTAAATAATATTTGTAAATTTGTATATGAGTCAGTTTGAGGAGGATTACCCAAATCAACAAATTATACCAACAAATTATGAGAAAAATACTTACCAATTTGCAGATATTTCACAACATAAATAGTAATTTAAACTCCAGCAATAATTTTCAAAAATATTATGATTAATTGATATAGGGACATTCAAATTCAACAACTACATCACTAGGTTTGAAAAAAAAAAACAAGTATTTAGAAAAAATATACAATACAAAATAGCGTGATTTTTCTGTAAAGAAACACGCCTTAAAAAAAGAAAAATATTTTAATATAGAAAATTATGTTCCTTTTATTTTTTTGCTCTTTTACTTGTACTGGGTTTACTAGTTTTACCATCTTTTTTGTCCTTTCTGCCTGACGAAGTGGTTTCTTTACTGCTTCCAGGTTTATTTTTCACCTGGAATGAGAATTATGTCTGAGACGAGACCAAATTTCAAAGAATCTACCAACAAGTTATAAATAATTTCTTGTTACCTTAATTAAAGCATCAGTATCAACAGTATCTTCGACTTGCTCATCATCAGATTGTTCTTCTTCATCAAAAAAGTCCTGTTCATTAGCAGCAGCCTTTTTTTTCTTCGAAGCTGTTGGCGGAGCAAAGCTAAGTACCATTGTCTTATTATATTTTCTAGTTAAAGCAGATTTTACCTTTAAAAAAAAAAATATGAAATTAAAGACAAATGAGCCAACAAATATTTACCGATGAGCTAATAGAATCAAAAGGATTTTTCTTTTTAGCCTCAAACGAGGTCATCAAATCACAAAGATTGGTCAAATCTTCTCTTAGTAACGAATAGGCCTTCATCACAGATAAAGTGTCATCAATTCCAGCCGCTTGTTGTTCTTTGAGCGGAGTTAATAATCGTTTTAAAAGGGGCTGCGCATAATCCAGACGTACTGACATTTTATCACCAGAAATACTATAAACGAATGGCAAATTAGTCTAATTTATTTACAAAAAAGAAGTATCTTTACCTGGTTCTGGCATGCGAATGCAATTCAGCAACGATCCTCAAGTTTTTGTTGCGTTGCGAATTTTTTCCAAACCACTGAGGAAATCGGGTTTGACTCAAAGTACCCGATAGATAATGACTTGGCAAAACTGTACTGAAATAGGCCTGAGTATCCAGTAAGGACCAATTGTTAGTGCTGCGTATTTTCGATTCGATTAAGTCGCTCTGGCTCAAACAGTCTGCAGCTAATTGACGTCTGATGAGAGTTTCTTGGGATTTTGACATGGTTTTGCTAGAATAGATAATAGATTTAAGCAAGTTGGATTAATTTGAAGTTACAAGATATTGTAACGAAGTTACTAGATATTGTAACGAAGTTACTATTTCTTTTTTTCGCTACCCGCCACTTAGATCCCGCATCCGAACCGATTTTCGGATCCGATTAGAGATACGCTATCAGCACTACTGAATAACCGCCCTGCCTATACACAGGAAGTACCGCCACGCCACCCAAAGTCGTTTCGTGACCATGCCACTAAAGTGGAGAGGAGTACTCAACGCGAAAAAGAGAAAAAATTGGTGGTACTAGATCGCCGACCTCCGAAACATCCGGAAGAATCCTGACCGTTTGTGAAAACTCAAAAGTGATTTTTTTTTTTTTAATTGAATTTCTTGCTATTACTACCGTGTATTGTGAGTTTCAATTCCAACTCCCTGCTCCTACTAGTGACGCCCTGGACATTTTGTACTTCACTTAGCTACCTTACGGCTGTCCGTAAGTGATCCCTTTGTCGTTTTTAAATAACTCAAAGGGTGACGCTCGAGCAAGTTTTGCCGAAACCCGACCAGCGGAAAGCCAGGCCTTACAATATAGTCCAGCCATATTTGTACAAAGATATTCACTTGATGCGATTTTAGAACTTTCAATTTCATACTCAACTAATCTTTGAAACCAGATTGATGTCCAAAATCAACTTACCTGGTACATTCTGGAACAGTACTCAAATAATTCTCTTGAACAAACATAGGACCAAAACTGTAATCGTAGAAAAAAAGCCGAGCTTTGTCCATAAAACTCATATTGGCATTTTCACTCTTGTTAAAAACCTTCTTAATAACATCCCAAGCGCCGAAAACAACATCCTTTTGAGAGTTCTTGGATTCTTTTTGAATAGTATCAGCACTGAGGCTGTTGTCTGAAGCAGACCACATAGACAGGTGATTGAGGGTTTGACGAATATCACAACCAGTGCCTGCAACCAGTTGAGAAAGGGCTTTCGACTCAATTTTCAGGCCTTCTTTGAAACATATCGACATCATTGCACCCTAAATAATGTTTTCTTTTTTATTAAAAACACCAAAAAAAAAGTAACAATTATTTTTACCGTAACTTGCATCACATTAGGTTTTCCAAACCTGAGCCCATAGCAATGGTTAACCAAAGTGCGCATTTTAGGTAAATCTCTATTGTTGCACATACAAATTATAGGAAATTTGGCTGTTTTAATAAAGCTAATAAGTTCTGCAATGCCTCCCCGATCCTCATTGCCGGCCATCCCATCCACTTCGTCCATAAGTAACACACGTTTTTGGTTCATATTATTCTTCTTACCTGGAAAACAGTGAATTAAATGAAGCAAATATTTATAAAAGTAGGTAGGTATTACCTGTAGCAAATCCTGCAACAGTTTTGGAACTCATCATTTGCGAAATTTCTTCGTGCAGTAATTTTTTACTGCGGGTGTCTGAAGCATTAAATTCGACTATATCGAAGCCTAATTCTTTAGCTACCAAAGTGGCTGTTGTGGTTTTACCTGAATGAAGACAATAATTTAATATAATTTTTAGAAATGAGGATGTGGAATAATATTCTTACCAACACCAGGACCTCCACTTAGCAGTGCTGCCTGGAAATACGCTCCATCGAACTGATTGAATGGGCTGGGACGGGGAAGATTCTTTCTTTTTTCTGGAACTTGGTTTCTATACCAATTTTCCAGCCATTTTTTCAGTTTATTCATGTTGCTGTTGGCATCCTGTTGACCTGAAAACAATATAAAATTAAATAGCAACACATTTCTAAAAGCTCTAGACTTGTAACTTTACTCACCTATAATTCCCTTAAGATTATTGGGTTTATATTTTTCTGTCCAGCATAAAGTTTCAGAAGATGCTTTCACATCAGGAATTTTGGGCATTATAGGTTTCACCTTTGACGAGTCTATTTCTTTAACATCTTTTTCTTTTTTAACTGGTTTTTCTTCCAATATTTTTGTCTTTTCTTTGTGTAATAATTTTTTTTCAGATTTTTCAATTTCTTTTGATTCATGTTCAAGTTTAATTTTTTCTTTGGGCTTTTTTGTTTGTAACTTTTCTTTGTCATCACTTTCAATTTCCAATTTTTCACTTAATTTTTTCAAATTAGGTTTTCCAACAGCACTACTTGCTTTACTTTGAGTTTCCTCGATATTCTTCTCTGGGCTAGAAGAAATAGGTTCAGATCCAACATAGCCTAAATCTTCACTACTGCACTCTTTATCTTTAACAGCATATTTAGGCTTCATTCCAGATTTTACCAAAATTAAATCCAAAAAATCATCTTCCGTAATTTCAGGTATATTATAATTTTTGGCCTTTTCCAGTTTAGCCGGTCCAGGCTGGTCACCGACAACTAAATAATCAACTTTTTCTAGAAAAAAAAATAAATAATTTTTTGAAATATACACAAATTATAACATACTTGACACAGAATGAACTACCCTGCCACCATGATCAGTTACCAGAGTACCAAATTCGTCCCCTTCCAAAGAATCTAGAACCCCAGTTCGTAAGAAAGTTAAATTTTTCAAGCAATCTGGTTTTCCTTTAGGGTATTCTTTTTCCCCATGATGTTTTGGTCCGCCTCTGTGCAAATAGGCCACATAATTTCCAACAGATTGTCGCTTCTTTTCCCACTTTTCAAATTCCTTTTCGATTCCAGGATCATCAGGTAGTTCTAGTTTCGGTTTCTTATTTGAAGTTGGAGTAGAAGCTAACAAAAATAATTTATTAAGTAATAGGAAATTTTGAATTAATAAAACTGGCTTACATTCGGAGTTTTTTCTGGATCTTTTTTCAGATTTTTTTGGAGTTTCTTTTATTGGATTTTCCTTTTTGGATGGTGTAGCAGATTTTTCTTTTTTGTCAGATTGTTTTATCTTACCCTCTGCTATTTCATCAGAATGATTAATTTTCTTTTTTTTCTCGGAAGATAATTCTTTTCTATCACAGTGTTTAACTTTTTCCTTTTTATCTGGAGAATCTTTTTTTTCCTTGGTTTTGTTATTCTCCGCAAGCATTGCCTCCTCGAAGGTTTTATCAAGAATATCCAAGTTTTCAAGTAGAATTGTGTCATCACTATCTTCATCCAGATCTTCCAAGGTTTTTTCAAAATCTGCATCTCCATGAACACCTAAAAAGATAACAATTTGTAAGGATGATGAAGCAAATAATAGATCATTAGAGTAGGGCTACACCTCCTTGAGGTCTTTGAGGAGTGGTAAAATACACATTGGAGTCCACAGCCAGCACAACATGATTTTGTTTATCAAATCTTCTTGCAACTTTCGACAACTTTTTCAAATTGAAATTACAGTCAATAGACTGGACATGAAGCTATAGTTATTCAGCTGTTGAAACATGATTTCCTCCTCTTTCATCTTCTGTTTAGTTAGACATACAATATGCGGTGCTCGATGCGGTGCCTCTTCAGCCAAAACAGCCTGCAGCAGATTTAGCATGTTTCTTGATGAGCCGATGTTTGTACGACACAATTTTATCAGAGTGTTTTTTTGATTTGCGTCTTATTTAAGCGTCCTCTGAGTATTTTATTTTTATTCATTTACAGGAAAACCCTATTAACTGCGTATAATTAACAAAATAAACCTATGCTAACACACAGCCAAAAATGTCTCCAGATTTCATTTTCTCAAAAGGAAACATAAATTGAATTTTCCTACTTATTAAATGGTCACCAACTGAAAATGAGTGTGGTAGCTAAGGACTTGAAGATACTATTTAATTCTTGTTTACATTTTACTGACCATATGGATCAACTGGTTCTGAAGACGTTTGGATGTGGTAAGATCTGTGTATTGTGGGATAGGTAGGTCTCAGCTTGAATATGGCTCAGTTATTTTGACTTTGCAATATAATGTCCACAAGACCATGCTAGAAAGTGTTCAGCACAAATTTTTAAGGTTTTGCAATCATAAATATAATTAGGGGCTTATTGCTGACCTTAACGTGCCTTAACTATGCTAATATTTTAAATTATTTCAAATATCTTCCAGTGGAAAGGAGAAGGGTTGTTTGATGTTTATGTTATTTTCAAGCTAGTGAATGGAATGATTTCATGTCCTTTTTTACTTACTCAAGTCAAATGTACTGTTTTGTCAAAAAAATTGAGGCAAAATAATTTGTTTTCTGTTGGGTTCCATAGGACTAGGACTAACTATGGGAGACATTCTTTTGTGGATTTTTTAAACAGGGAGAATGGGATAGATGTTTCTAATGGCTCGTTTCAAATCCTTTAAAGTAATAATATTGAAAACATGTTTGCTATACATTACGATGATGTCAAACAACAACTTAAGGTAAGAAAGTGTGTCCCTGAGTTTCTCCCTTTTCAAGTAATAAAGTTAACAATAAAAAAAATGTTCTATAGTTCCACTATTGGTCTCACATACATATCAATAAACACATAATAACCTAATAAGTATAAGAAAATATAGAAAGATAAATATGTTTCAAAATCAATAAACAATCTTCTTACCTATCTCAGTATTCTTTCCTTGATTCTTTCCCTTGCTTTTCTTTTTTTTACCCTTATCAGTTTTCTGTTTCTCACTTTCTTTCCCATTTTTATCTTCTTGTTTCTTAGGAACATATGTAACTTCACTCTGCTTGATTGGTCTATTAAAGGCTTCAAGATCTATAGGTTTCAACTTTGGTTTTTCCTCAGCAACTTTAGGCTTTTTCGCAGATGCTGTTTTCTTCTTACTGTTACCTTCATCTTCCGAATCTGAGCTAATCACAACAGCTCTTTTCTTGTGTTTTAAAGGTTTTTTAACGACTTCTGGAGTCTTTGCAACAACTTCATCGTCAGAATCAATGATGACCGGAGCCTTTTTGGGTTTACTAGGCGGTTTGGCCCCATCGCCCGGTTTCTTTGATAGGACGGTGAAAAACGAACGAATGTCCTGTAATAAATTATTGATTAACGATAGGCTTGTATAGGTTATGCAGATACTTACTTTGGACATAATTGTTGTTATCTTTAGCTAATTTTGCATAGTTTCAATTTCAAACAATAAGAAAAAAACGATTATTTTTATTACCTTTTGACCTTGTATTGTTTGTTTGAGGACGAGATTCCCGCGCATGAGAATTAAAGAGACAAAACATCATTAGTGTCACTGTCAAATGTCAATATAAACCAGTTCAATTCCGAACCGGTTTAAGTTCTACGATCGCTTTCAATCTAACCCCAGTGGTCTTGATCCAACCCTAGATCACTTTTTGGAACGTAATCAACAGAAATTACTACACCGGAATTAAATAGATCAAACCTGGGTCCAACTAAGCATCAATCAACGAATCAACACAAAATTGTAGTAGAGTCAGAACAGTTTTTTTTTCACGTGTTCTAGAGTCACGAGAGCCTCAAAGGGCCTTTACGGAAACGTTTGATTCATGATTCACCTGATCACAGATTGTTTGTTTTTTTATTTTCAATAGTTGTATTGGTTTCAAGAGTTTAGAACACTAGAGCTAATCGCTCCGGTGTAAAGCCCAGTACTCATAATCGCGAAATTCGCTCTTTTTTGACATTGTTTCGACATTTTGACGTTTGAGGCACGCATAAAACGTCAAATTGTCGAAGCAATGTCAAAAAAGAGCGAATTTCGCTGTTATGAGTACGTACTAGGCTTTAGTGTACCCTGATTTGAAAGGCACAGATGCGCTGGCTTTCGTGCATTTAAATGATTTTGGATGAGCACTCAGTGCAACAAACACTTTTCGAAAGGAATAAGCGCGTAACGCCCCGGACCTGTTCCGGAGCTCTTCCTAGGTGTGAAAGAAATACAACTATAAGTAGAGTTAGGTTAATAACCAGAGAGCAAAAAGATGGGCTCTCGTGATCAGTTTTATTCAATGAACACTCACCTTAATGAACACAAATGAAAAAAACAATTCATATCAGCTAGTGTTGCTGATAATCGAGTTAATAGGATCAATGGGATCAACGTTTTACTCTAACGACCCGGAACCTTCAGAGCTCGGCTTGCTCACTCCATGCACTCTGACTGACTGCATTCGCATTCCAGCCGTTCGGGTATTGCTTTTTTGCGTATTAGGGGTGACTCCATTAGCGTTTGACTATACGGAATGGAGTAAATGAAGTTCACTCCAAAAGTTCCATCTCGGAAAGAGAAATTTTTAGAGTTAAGTATGCGCAGAAATGAAATTTTGAAACTTTCAAACTTGTTGTGTTGTCACGTTTAGCCACTAGTGATTGTTGTTTTGAAAAGTTTTAAAACTTAGAGCAGGTAAAACGCTGTCCTACGGATATAAGGAGTAGGAACGCGCCATTCTGCTTATGAAACTAAAGTGAAGCCAAGTTTTTGGCATCAAATTCCAACTGACTACTAGTTTTTACCTTTACCTGCTCTAAGTTTTAAAACAAACAGATCAGCTGTTTGACATTTTTGCTCCGACTGTTCCGGTCGTTCGTGTATTAATTTTTCACTTTTATCACTCCTAGATCACGTGGCAAAAATCTGTTCTTACTCCACTCCAACTCCGTGCTAAATAGCCGAACCCAGCTTATGTTATTTCAAAGCTGGGTTCGGCTTGCTCCTGCACTCTGAGTCACTCCGTTCGCACTCCAGCCGTTGTCTGATTCGTTAAAAGGCAATACCCGAATGGCTAGAGTGCGAACGGAGTCACTCGGAGTGCACGGAGTGTGCAAGCCGAACCCAGCTCAAGTAATTAATATCACTAAATTGTCGACTTTTGCCATGAAACTGCTCCCGATTATCAAAGAGCAATCCAAAAAAAGGGCGTAGCTCACGTGTTCGACTTGAGCAATGTTGAACGTTCTCAAATCTGGACGGAGCGCTCTTTCTTGTTCCGTCAAATTTGATGGATAGAAACATATGATGGTTTCACAGTTCACACAAAACATCCCCCCTTAGAAATGTAAGTCTTATGAGAGACGTCAGTCTAGTCGTTTCAGCTTTCCCCTCCAATCACTAGAGGCGCTTCAATCAACCTATTAAAGTTTTCTTTTTCCTGCCGGACCGTGCGCCAAGATTTGAAGTTTATTTTGTCATTTCCAGTCGTCAAAATTTAAATTTTGAACTTCTCCCAACATTTAGAATTATCAATTACCTATCAATTATCAATAATTATTATCTCAAAATGTCTTCTCCCAGTTTGTTAATTGAAAAGCATCAGAAATGCTGTGTTCCGGGGTGCGGCGACAAATACAGCAGCTATTTCCGGTTTCCAAAAGATGCCGAAAAAATGAAACAATGGCTATAAAAAGTTCGCAATCCTTTACTAAATAGCCTCAGTGTCGAGAAGGCTTATAATAATTATAGAGCGTGAACAAGACATTTTCCTCGAGAATTTATTGTTGGCGATCCAAAAGCCAGACGAGGACTCACATGGAATGCTGCGCTTTTGCTGTATCTCCCTGAAGGTAAGTTAATACTAGATATATGTGAGAAAGACGTACTTACATTTTCACTTACTCCTCCCCATAGTTCTGATTAACGACAACGTGTTAGAATTCGGGTTTAAAGGAGCATAGGTCAGAAACATTAAAATTAATTTTAATTTTAGCCCCAATTATCAAAAACAGTGAGGAGTCGTTAATTGATAAACCACAATCACCAAAATGGCAAAAAGTGGAGATCGACAAAGTTGAAACTCGTCGAAGAGTCCTAAGACGCCTTCAGAAATTAGTTTCGCAACTATGATTGACATAGGTAGGTAAACATAATAACTCTGTTCCAACACGTCAAAAAATCGTCCCATGAACGGTTTCGAAACCACTCAGTATAACAATTTTAGTTTCTGCGCAGAATCGTGACGGTACATTGTACGGTTTTCTGCTGTGTTGGAACAAAGCTAATATTATTCATTTCTTGTTTTTAAATGTTTATTCCTTTATCAGGAGACACAATAATTAAAAAATTCCTGGTTACATACAGGTACACCATATTCTACAATGCATGTATCCAAAATTTTTTGGTAGAATCATTGGTAACGAAATTTCTGTTTTAGATCAACCAGACCCTTCATGTCGTCAATTTTTATCTACTGAAACTTCTGCAATTCGGGCAGACATTGCTACACCAAGTGGAACCATCACATCTGCAAACATGAAAAAGTCACCAACCAACTTTGTCTCTTAAAACTTTTATTGGTAGGTACCTAAGTGTTATTGCTTAATGAATAACCACCCAGTTGGGAGTAGGTGAATTTTAAAACATCCTAACTCAAGTAGGACTACTACTATAAAAGACTACTAATTACTAAAACTTGCAGTCGAATGCTAGAAAAATTAGAAGCTAAATGTGCGAAAAGCTCGTCTCCAATCTTGATCTATTTTTTTTGCAGGTCCTGAGAGACGATGCCAAATTATAAAGAACATTAACGTCACTAGGCAAAAAATTCCTATCCCCAAGGGAAAAATATCTTTATTCCAAAGTTATAGAATCCAGCAATAAGTTAAGAAGAATCAGTAGAAGGTTGTCGTCATTTAAATCCAAAGTTTCTGCTGCCGAATAACTTGCATCATTTCAAAGGCTTGTCGACCACGTCAATCCATTTATATACAGCTTTATTTTAAGCCAAGTCCGTACTCAAAACCAAAAGCCTAAAGCTAGACGATTTACATTGGACGAGAAGTTGTTGGCGTTGTCTTTGTTTAAAGCTAGTGGTAAAGGGTATAGACTATTATCAAAAATATTTATTCTATCATCCAGGCGAAATCATTTTCTTGATTGAGCTTTATATTATGTATAACTACATAAACTTTCTACCTAACACATGCGGAAAGTGTATTTTCTGGACTTAAAGGCTTGTTTGAACTCTGCTTTTTGTTGTCATTCGTGCAACTTCCATCACGTGCAGAAACACTTTCCTCACTTGTTAGGTTAACAACGATTTTGGATTGTCAGAAAAGGACCTCTTTTGTCATTTTATTTACGATTTAAGTTTTTCATCAAGCTATTGTTAAATGTACGTCATTACTTCTTGTAACTGTCATTATCTTTAACTTAACAGCATAACCTACCTATGTATGTATACTTACATAAACTGTTTCGCAATAATTGTAATTAATTCCATATTCTTTAATATTTTCTGTTTCAAACTTTAATAAATATCTAAATTTGTCATCTTAATTTTTAGTCAATTTTACCTTGAAGGCGCTTCAACACTACCGATTTTATGAGTTTCTTCTTTTTGGCACAATTATTTTATGCCAAAAAATGGTAGAAACTTTAAAGTGGTGGTGTTGAATCGCTAGAATCAAACAATGGTGCAAACGATCCACCGGAACAAATAAGATACCGAACGAACCCTAACTGCGTTTTGCATTCGCCAATAAATCCAGAATTACAAAAGCTTACCCCCCCAGTCACTAGAGGCGCTGAAAACTTATAGACAGGTTCTCAACACGGCACTTACCTTTCTAAGGGGGGATGTTTTGTGACAGTTCAGACGGGAAGTGTTCAAAGCAGAAAAGCCGAAAATGTTATTAGCGTTTTTAACTTTCGCCCCAAAACTGCTACCGGTACCGATTGATCAAAAAGCGATCCAAAACGGATTCACATGTTTTATTGTTCGGAACGGAGCGCTGCTCTTGGCTAAATTCACGTGTTCGACTAGAGCGATGGAACGGTCTCAAATCTCGCAAGTACGTCACTGATGCCATTTGACGCACCGTCAAATTCGATGAATTAAATAGGGTGCTCGTTTGTACTGCATTTCTTGCTTCAAGCAGATTTCAGCAGCAGATCGGCGTTCACTTGTCCCATATATAAGCTCATAAACAGCAGCTCCTAGCAGATCTTCCTGATTTCTCGTGCATTTAGAGCAAGTACAAATGAACAGTCCAAAATAAGAGTGGGATCACAACAAGAATGATACACACTACTACTACAGAATGGCTTATCCTCAAAAGGCCCGTGTGTAACAAATCTCCCCCTTTCCCCCTGAAGCCAAAATACCAGATGTGACGTAGGCAGCATGTTATTTCTCGCCTTGAGGCTGTTTGAACCAATTTTGAACCAATGTTTGAACAGCTGACGACTTAGTTATGACGTCGGCAATGTTGTCACGACCACCCTTCTGCTCACTCTATTGGGCTGTTCATTAATACTTGTTCTACCTGCTCGAAAATTAGACAGATCTGCTAGGAGCTGCTATTTTTCGGCTTTTAATGTATGGGACAAGTGCACGCCAACCTGCTGAGATCTGCTAGAAGCAAGAAAAGCAGTACAATATATATTCATTGTGGTAACGCTTTTCAAATTTCTTTTTTGTTCACCACAGGTGAATAAATATAAGTGTTTTGAGATTATTAGTGCCGGTACTTTTGCTCTCATTTGACAGCCGTTAAAAATAATCAGGGGTTAGAATGTGCTCTAACCACATCATACTTATATACCTTGGCCCATGCAAAACTTTGACAACGTATCAAATTCGTTAATCGAGAGCGAAAGTATCGGCCCTTAGGCTATCAAATTCTGAGCGAGATCAAGAACCGAGAACCGTGTAAAATTACAATCGGTTATTGATTTCATTCAAATAGGGTGCTCTCGTATGGATTATTTTCATCCATTTCCGGCCTTACTATTCCCAGAACGCTTCCTGTCTGGACGGTGACGTCAAAGATTTCTGCGGAAGTGCTCCGAGAGCGATTATAATAGTTGCTTTCGGATGCAGAGTGCGAAACTCCTAGAACACTTCATACCTGTCATACTCCACGCGTTTTGCCACGGCCATGTTTTGCACTCGAAAGCTTGAAGCCGAACGGGTCAAACTATAGCTGGAGTATTTCGGAGTAGCGCTCGGGAGCGCTCAAAGTGTAGCGCCCAAAAGCAGCAAATGCAAACGAGGGACGAGGGCACACCATTTGAAATCAATAGCCGAGCGTTTTTTATTGTTTTGATCAAATTCTCTGATCTATCGAATTTGACGGAGCAAGAAAGAGCGCTCCGTGCGAAATTTGGGAGTATTCTATTGCTCAAGTCGAAAATATGAATCTCGCCGAGAACAACGCTCCGTTTTAAGCCCAATATGTGATCACTCGTGTGCAGTTTCGAGGCAAAACTCGAAAGCGCTGTTACCAAGGTTACTCTATACTCCAACAAAAACTTCCTTTTCCGAGATGGAACTTTTGGAGTGAACTCGATTCCGTGTGCCGAACGTGAACATAGTAACTCTATTCACGCCAAAAAGCCCGAATGGTCAGAGTACTCAGAGTGAGCAAGCCGAACCTGTGTTTAGGTGAGTTTCGAATTATATTTTTATTATCTGTGTTTATATCGCCAAGGCCAAAGTCTAAAGTTCAACGACGGTCCAATCAAACGAGTAAAGGTTTTCTTTGTTCTTTGTCTAATACTAAAAAATAAACAAAGACAGACATAGGTCGTAATACGCACATTGAAAGCGAAAAACGATAATAACTTCAATAATAATAAACATATTATGTTTTTCATTATCTCTTCCAAAATAGTCAAAAAATTAATTATCTAGTAAAAAGATTCCGAAATCAAAACAAGGCAATTTCTTCATAAACAAAAACCTGTTCTATAAACCTATACCTAAGTCCCAATTCTTTCCTAATAAAATAAAATTGGAAAAAATAAGTATGTCAAGGTCAACTTTGAGCAGTGTGGTTGGCCAGGCAAAATAATAATGGCAATTTCCATTCGGGAATCAGTACGAACTGAGTGAGAAAAGTTGCACTGATTCTGCAAATTGAAATCGCTATAATAATTCAAATACTAAATATTGGCACCGCCATCTATATATTTTTTTTTAAACTAAAATCTAATTTGAAGTTTGGTGTACACTTTATTTGCGTTTGGAAATAATTTGGTATCCGAATGGTGTGACACCGTTTACTTGGTACAAAATGATGATGTATTCGGTATTACACCGCCGATTACAGCTTCATCACCTGATATTAGCATTACACGAACACCGCACAAATACTGCACTAAAATCTCATTCCGAACTCTACTTAGGAAGAAGCATCTACATGAACGACTTTGACAGCTGTCGTTATTGTTGGAATGTCAGAGTCAGCATTGTCAGGGCCGAGATTCTAAAATCACGATTCGACACACGACTCGACAACGATACCGGCCTTGTCGTGTCGAAAGGTATAATTCCAATGAGATTTCTAACCTAGAATCGTCGGAAAAATCGTCTCGTTGTCGAATCGTATGTCGAATCGTGATTTTAGAATCCCCGACCTGCTAACTTCACGCTTATTTATAATTAGTCAAAAATCCAAACATCTTGAATTTGTTTTTAATAAGAGAAATTAATTATTTTTATTAAAAACCAAGTGAAAACCTGTTAAATATTCCTAAAAAAATCACATTCACAGTGAATACACACAAAATTAGTTCACACATAAAAATCCAAATAAAACATTTCCAGTGATCTTGTTGACCCCCTTATTAGTTCCCAATTTTCTACTTCAGTCTTTTTCAACGTTATTCAATAAAGTGAAACCATGGCGCATTATAAAGGAGCCGCAAGCGAAGCTGGACGAGCTATGCAGCTAATGAAAAAACGGGAAAAAGAAATGCAAGACCTGGAAATACGGAAAAAGAAAATTGAAGAAGATCTGAGAATTAACAATATTGAAAACAAGTTTGCTACACATTACGATGCTGTTGAACAACAACTCAAGGTAAGAAAGTTCCTCCTTTTATAACTAAAACTGTTAACAATTTGAAAAAAAATGTTCCAGAGTTCCACTATTGGTCTGGTTACTCTTGATGAAATGAAAGCGAAACAGGAAAATATAGTCAAAGAAAGAGAGAAGAAACTAGCCCAAAAGCAAGCGGAAAAGGAAAGGGAAAAGCAGAGACAATTAGAAGCAAAACTGGCTGAGAAAAATAAACAAAAAAAGCAAATTCAAGCCTTGTCTTTCACATTGGATGATGGTGAAAATGACGAAGAAGATGAAGAAAGTTTCACATCATTCAAAAGATCAAACGAAGAATTTGATGCAGCAAATTTAAAAAAAATTAAAAAAGATCCTATGGCTAATACAAGTTTTTTACCAGATAGAGAAAGAGAAGAGGAAGAAAATAAATTGAGAGAGGAACTGAGACAACAATGGGCAGAACAACAACAAAAATTAAAAGAAGAAGAAATTGAGATTACTTTTAGCTATTGGGATGGATCAGGGCATAGAAGAACATGTAGAGTTAAAAAAGGAAATTCAATTTATCAATTTTTACAAAAAGTTTTAGAATTGCTAAGAAAAGAATTCTCCGAGTTAAAAACTGTTATGGCCGATCAACTTATGTATGTTAAAGAAGATTTAATCTTGCCTCATCATTATACATTTTATGATTTCATTGTTACCAAGGTGGATAATTTTTTCTACAATGATTTGCATTTTTATATTGAAACACTTATTTTTAGGCCAGGGGTAAAAGTGGGCCCTTATTTCAATTTGATGTTCACGATGACATCAGATTAGTAAGCGATGCCTCAATAGAAAAAGAAGACAGCCATGCAGGGAAAGTACTAATGAGAAGCTGGTATGAGAGGAACAAGCATATTTTTCCAGCTAGCCGTTGGGAACCGTATGATCCTACAAAAGTTTATGACAAATATACTGTGTCTGACAAAAATAAGAAACAATAATGAGAAATAAATTAATATAGTTTCGAAATTAGATTTTTCTAAAATGATGCAATTTGGTTTATAATTCCAAATGCAAATAGCATTATTTAACAAATATTTGTGTGAAATATTTGAAAATATTTCTATTACTTATGGTTTTTGGTCTTGAAAATATCTGAGCTAAATTTCAACTTTGAAGGTTAATTTCTCAAGACCTATGGAGCAATTGGTATCATTTACGGAAGTTTTATAGAGAATTCATTTCCCTTTCAGAAAATCTACAAGTTGATTGGTTGAGAATTACCAAAACTGTGAGCAAAATTTTGAGACCATGTCATGATTATAAGAACATTTCCGAGGTGAAAATTGAGATTCTTGTTTCTCAAGAAATTACCCTTTCGGAAATCATATGGGATTTGTTTTACACTAATTTTAACCTCCTCTTTCGATTGGGAAAGTCCGATTTTGGGAAAAAATTAAAATTTCAAATTTTGATTTTTCAGGCTTATTTATTCCCTTTGGATTTTTTATTTGAAATCTTTCATTGACAATATTTCAGTAAGTATGAGCGGTATCAAGTCAAAATTTTTCGGAGTTCGTAGCTCTCATCCAGTACTTCAAAATCTTATTTGGAAAATATTTCTATCACTCATGGTTTTGGAGTTTTTTGAGCGTGAAGTTTTTGACCAAATCTGAGTTAAATTTCAACTTTGAAGTCTTAATTTCTCGAAACCTATACAGGCAATTGGTATCATTTTTGGGAGTTTTATAGAGAATTCAATTTCCTTTCAGAAAATCTATTATACAAGTTGATTCGTTGAGAATTACCAAAACTGTGAGCAAAATTTTGAAACCATGTCGGATTATAAAAAAAATTCTGATGTGAAAATTGAGATTTTTTTTTCTCAAGAAATTACCGTTTCCGAAATCAATATGGGATTTGTTTTCCACTAATTTTAATCTCCTCTTTCGATTGGAAAAGTCCAATTTCGGAAAAAAATTTAAACCTAAAAATTTTGATTTTTCAGGCTACCTACCCCCTTTGAATTTTTTATTCCAAATCTTCTATTGACAATATTTTGGTAAATATGAGAGGTATGAAGTCAAATTTTTCTGAGTTCGTAGGTCTCATTGAGTAGGTACTTCGAAACCTTATTTGGAAAATATCTCTATTGCTTATGGTTTTTGAGATTTCAGATCGTGGAGTTTTTGAATAAGTAAAATTTGAAGTTTGAAGCCTAATTTCGCACAACCTATAAAAGCAACTCAATCAGTTCTTGGAGGATTTATAGAGAATTGAATTCCCTTTCAGAAAACCCTCGAGAAAACCTATAATACAACTTGATTTATTGAGAATTACCAGAACTATGAGCAACATTTTGGGACAAATTGAAGATATTGTGGACTATCCAAAAAACATTGAAAAAAAGAAAAACAAAACGATTTTCTGAAAACATCTTTAATATGAAAACTCCATTGACAAAAAAAATACTTCAAAATAATCTATAATAATTCTATTTTTATAGGCAAACCTCTTACCACACATGCAGCTTTTGTTAGATAATTCGTTCGCTTTTTGGACTGAGATAGAGCCCTTAAAAGTTCTAAATTATTTTCTTCTTCAATTCTAACAATATCAGCATTTATTTCTTTACTAGGAAGCTTTTCTGTAAAGAAGAGAAAAAATATTCAATTGAAAACCTGAAAAGAATTCCATAAGGTCTGTTCCAACACTTCAAAAACCCATCCCATAAACGATTTTGAAACTTCTCTGTAAAGGAATTTCGGATTCTAGGCACAGAAGTTTCATTAGTATCAAGAGAAGAAAATAGACTAAGTAGAGAAGTAGTAATGAAATATAGGTAGATAAAATAACTTACTAATTTTAAAAGTCTTCATCCAAGCTTGTTTATCAATTTTAGACCAACCCCTTTCGGCTGAAGATGGCAGCCAGGTGCTTAAAAATTCTGTAGTCAACAGATCCGTATACATGTCCGTCACTGGCCAAAGCATACCAAAGACACATGGACTAATAAAATAAATTGTTTATTATCAATAATTAATTTGAACAAATTCTTACCTGCGAGCCATCAAATACAAATAATAGGAACTATACATCTCAACTTGAGCACCTTTTTGGGTCAACTTATTACTGGCACAGCCGAATAACATCACTACGGCTCCAATTTGGCATTTTTGAATAAAATCTAGTGACATTAGGTGTGAGCCATTACCATGTCCGTAATACCTAAAATAATTTAAGCTCAAATTATATTATTAAAATAGAATTATTATACTAACGAGTAAATATCAGCAGCAGTTACCAAATCAAAAAACTCCTCTTTGGTTGGTTTCTTGTTAATTATGCCCGTCCAATTTGGCAGCCAGTACTTCAAAAACGCCTGTATTCTGATTTCCATGTTGGGCAAATTACTGTCCGGGTTTAAAAGGTATTTGCCATTTTTGTGGCTTCTGACTATCTGCAAAAATATTCTAGTCAACACTTGTACCAACACTTGTGATCAATTTGTACCTTGTCACCTCTCTGGATCTCTTTTTCGTGGCTTTTGAACAAGAGATGAGCAAAATATAGGGACGGTAATCTAGTTACTGGTTGGTCAGTTAGGATTGTCAGCATTTCCCAAGGAAAAGAGTCCAAGCACTAAAAAAATTTTGGTAATTGTAATGTAAAGTTACACCTAATATGCCTCTTAGAAAAATTAGAATATTATTTTACCTCATCCACAATTAATATTATCGGATGCCTCAAATGATTATCACTCTTCTGAAAAACTGCAATGTTAATTTCTTTTATCAACTGAGAAATTTCTTTTATTGTATTCTCGTCTACTATTTTGTTCAGACAATAACTTAATGCTTTTTGGACTTCCGAGAAGAGTAAATAACCCGCTCCTTTAGTGACATAATGCATTAGCTCTTTGGTTTTTGGAGGAATGACCACCTTAGACAACCTAAAAACAATCAAGTTAATTAAAGCTAATTTTAATGTTGATTTCAACTAACTGATTGTTATAAATTTTCTCTAGCTCATCCCTGATATTTTTTTCAAGTGACTTATCTTGATATTTTCCAATTAAAAGACATCTCCATTGCCTGAGCCAATTTTCTTCAAGCCTTTTGATAATTTCCTAAAATTTTTGAGGATAAAAACATCCTCCTAATTTATTTCAAAAAATTATTCTCACCTTCAAAGTAACTTCAGTATTTTCTGTTCTCGAAACATATTCACGTTTTTCTTGGACGTTTTTAAACCGTTTCTGATTAACAATTTCTTTCAAATTCTGTTGGTAATCTATAAAAGTATCAGTCAGTTTTTGCATCAACTCCAATTTTTTGCCATCATAATAAGGAGCATCTACAGTTATTACAAAGGGGTCGACTAGATCCTGGCCACAATTGAATACTGTAATATGCAACTGGTTGGTTCCTTGGATATTTATGTTCAAATTGTAAGCTTCTTTTTCAGTGTGGTGTGAAGTTATCTGAATAATATTCCACTCTAAAAATGCATACTCGTGAAAAGTTTGCTTTAATTTTTAATAATTTATACCTTTAGGCATTTCAGCAACTTGTCTCTTAATTGTTTCAATTGTCTTTGCAAGATCTGTAGGCGAATGTCCGATAATGTTTTCTTTTAATAAATTTAATTCTTCTTTATACTCCTCATTGCTACTGGTTTTGAGTTCTTTGGTTAGTAATCGTGCATAACGTACGGCAGTTTTATCTCTTAAATTTGGCACGTGAGATTCAACTAAACGGACAACTTTTTCTAATTCGGTTTGTGTATTATATGCAGCAATGAGTTTTTGAATTCCTGCAACAAATAATGGCGGTGATAATTTGAAAAATGCTATATGTACCTAACTTCACAAAGCAAACAATAATAAACAACCCTCTTCACACTGTAGATGAGCTCTTAATCTTTTTCCTATGATGATGAGCAAATATTAAAATTGCTCCAGTAACACCAACAAAATAATCATCAATGGCATCCCCCAGCTCTTAAAAATACTTTTTAATTGTACTGTGGAGTTGATTTTGATTTATTAGATTGATTTTTGTATTTACCTATCCCAATTTCAATATTCGAATAGCTATTTTTGTCACAAGTACCTAAAATGAAGTTTTTCAGGATGAATCATTGCTGTTTCCGGACGAGGCGTTAACCAAGTCCGGAACAGCAGATGAGTCCTGAAAAACTTTGTTAGGTACGTACATTCAAGTCCGTAAAATGCTTCTTTTTAGGATTTTTTTTTCTTTCTAGATGCATCTTTATGATTTCAAAAATTAAGGAAAATTTGCAAATTTTAGCGTTCTGAAGAATTCTAAAAAGCGTATGACAAAAAATAGTGTTTGTCACACGTACCTAAACGAAGTTTTTCAGGACTCATCTGCTCTATTAGTAGACGACTACAATCCCTGAAAATTTCAGCTCATTTGGACTTATAGTTCCTGAGATAAAATCGTGTTAAGCAATTTGGATTGAATTTATAAATTTTTCAATTTCCTCACGCCATTTTTTCATAGATTTCGGCTTCAAATCTCAGAATAATTTAGTGTATGGAGTTTGGAGGGTCCCAGATGATCACTTAAACACAAAATTTTAACATAAAAAAAAATTGAAATTTTATCATTTTAGTACTAAGGTATTTAGCTGTATTATACCTCATGATTTGGATTTTTGAAAACTTTGAAACACCAAACTTTTTTTCTATTATAGATAGAAAGCTGAAATTTTTAGCGATTCTTATCCCAGTAGAGGACTACAATCCCTGAAAATTTCAGCTCATTTGGACTTAAAACTCCTGAGATACAATCGCGTTAAGCAATTTGGGGTGAATTTATCAATTTTTCAATTTCCTGACGTCCTTTTTTCATAGATTTCGGCTTCAAATCTCAGAATAATTCAGTGTATGGAGTTTGGAGGGTCCCAGATGATCTCAAAATAAAAAAAATATGAAATTTTATCATTTTAGCACTAAGGTAGGTAGCTACCTTGACTACGAATTATCTCATATTACCTAGCAATATGTGTACTTAATTATATGGAATTTCTAAAAAACTTTCGGGACTACTACTGGCATTAATTATAAAAGTACTTAGCTAGCATTACTTGGATGTTCAGTAATGTCCAGATAATGTTCATTGGAATTACATAGCATTACTTTTAACTTTAACATTATACAGGATTACTGGCAATTCCTAAATATTTGGGAATACATGTATGGTAAAATTCTCTCCCCTATAGCTTCCTTGGGTCAAACGAGGGTTGAACAATCAATTTTTTCGCGCATTTTAAAATTATTTCTTTGAGAGCATAGTTTCTTTCTTTGAGTGTTATTAAATCTGGACGAAAACTATGTATTTGTATTTGGTAAGTTTAAAGTCATATCTTATACATTTTTCTTCAATACAAGTTGCTCTAGACTCTAGAGGTATCCAAATCAATTCCTCCAGTTGTAGTAGATATTATAAAATTTGGTTTTTTGAATTTGATAATCTCAGGGTATTTTTTTCTCCTGTTATTGAAGATAATCAAATTTCTGTTGACAAATCATGTTACATTATTAACGAGATTATTACATGATAATAATATATAAATTTTTAAAGCACGATAAAATACTCGTCAACCATCTTTACATAAGTTTAAAGTAGAAATGATAATAAAGCCAGGGGCCTTTTTCCACAGTGTTATAGAAGATTTGGAAAATCTGACAAAGAATTTAAATAGTAATGACTATGTAATAATAACTGGTGGTCATAATGATCTCCTAAATGACAAATTTCCTCAAATAAAGTCCATTTTGAATAAACTTAAGCCATGTCTTCGCACTAATTTTATGATTTGTCTTGTCCAGTATCGTCAAAATATAAAAATGTAAATAAGACTACCTATATCATTCAATAACAGGTTTCATTCTTTTATGCGTAAGGTTGATAGGATTTCTGAGACATCTTTGGAACACATAGATATCAATAACAAAAAGGAACTGTGTATCAAAAACTGGCAAATTGGTAAGCTTGTGGAGGAGTCAATATCAAGGTTGATAGGATTTCTGCAAACCCACACCGCTACAATAACTTAAAGCCACTAATATTTGTGTAAACCTGTGACCAACCACTACTTTCACCATCGATGCATACTGACTTAGAATCTCACGGGTCAATTCTAAATTGTAATAGTAACAGCGACTGTGTTAGTATTAGCGATAAAGAAAGTTTAATTTTGGTACAGAAAGTTTTATCAAATGGCACTTCCGTAAACATATTAGAGCCACGAACATGTTTCAATAGCTCCGAAAATGAAATGCATTTTATTCAGCAAGAACAGATAGATTTTTTAGCTCAAGTAACGCCCCCAAAAACTCTAACATAGCTCAAGATTGCAATCGAGAAAAACAGGTGTCTGTATTTTTATTTAATATTCAATCCCTACAAAACAAAGTTGATGTCTGTTTCTGTACCTATTTCTTAAAAATAAAAACTTCCCGGACATATTACTGCTGAATGAACATTGGCAAAAAATGAAACATTTTCTATCAATGGTTATACACTGGTGTCTAAATATTGTAGAATTACAAAGAGTGGTGGAGGTACTGCTATTCTTATAAGGGATGAATTTTTGGAGACTTTCGAAGTTATTGCTGTTTCACACTATAACATCCTTATAGTAGAAGGTGTTTTTGAGTTTTCATTGTACAATGAAAGAAACAACTTGTATATTTTGTGCATTCACAGACCACCATATTCTTCAAATTTAAAACAATATTTCGAAAATCTAGAAACTCTTTTAATGAATCTACCATGTAAGGCAACCCTTTTGTTGGGTGGTGATCTGAATATAAATTATGACGATAAGACATCAGAGGCTACACAGGTATTATCCAATTTGTTTTTATCATTTAACCTACAAATGTATGTGCAGCCACCGACCTGAATTACTGCACACGGTAAAAGCAGGATTGACTATATGTGTTCCAATTTTGGCTTGTGAAATATTTTTGTCAGTTGTGAGGTAATGCCTGTTGGTTTTTCGGATCATAAGGCAGTATTGGCTTGCTTTAGATTGATTTTTAATAAAGGGCGAAAGCATAGGTTAGGTAGGTGTTTAGTCGCAAAAACTACTATAAGTTTAAGTCTGCCGCTGAAGGTTTGAGCTGGTTTGAAGTGTTAAATATAAAATCTCCCCTTGCGTCTTTTCAAAACAAAATAAGTAGTTTCTTAAATGTTTTCCACTACAGAAAATCAAACAAATTAAGAGAAAGAGTTGGGTGACAAAGGGTATCAGAATATCCTTGAAGAATTTCAGATTTCTTCAAGTAATAAAAAAGCACACAACCAATCCTCGTTTTCTCTGTTACTTTGCAAAATACAGGTTAAAATACAAAAAACTTATGAAAGCTGCAAAAGACAAGTTTTACCGCAACCAAATTAAAAATTCAAATAATTCAACTAAGGAGAATTGGAAACTTGTGAAGGGTGAATGTGGATGCTAATATTCTGAATAACTTTTACTGTACAGTTGCCAGTAACCTGCAATCGGATCTGAAGAGTAACACAAATCCTCTTTCGTACTTGTCTGACGTAAAAATAGATGGTAGATTTGAGCTACAACCTACAAATATCGGTGAAGTGAGAAATATTTTAAGGGACATAAAAAATCCGAAATCAAGCGGCTATGACAACATTTCAGAGACTGCTCTCTATGTGTTGGCTTAATGTATAAATATCCCCTTTCAATTGGGCAATTTTCCTGACGTTCTTAAAACAGCAGTTGTTGTTTCAATACATAAAGGAGGTGAAACTGACAAGCCCGAAAATTACCGCCCAATATCATTGGTCTCAACACTTTCAAAGGTAATAAGAAAATTGGTCAAGGGAAGAATGTTGGAGTACCTGAATAAACTTAATATTTTAAGTAATTCTCAGTTTGGTTTTCAACCATCCAAAAACACTCATGACGCAATTTTTAATCTTTTAGATCATGTTTTCACGGCTTTGAAAGAGGATGAAGTGGTCGCTACAGTCTTCTGTAACTTCTCTAAGGCCTTTGACTGCGTGAACCATGAAATTATGTTACAAAAATTGCATGTCTACGGCTTAAGAGGAGTCTCCTTGATGTGGTTCAAGTCTTATTTCTCAAAAAGAGAACAGTATGTAAAAATCGGTTCTACACAATCTCTAACTTTAAATATATCGAATGGCGTTCCTCAAGGGTCCATTCTCGGACCGATTTCATTTTTGCTGTATCTGGATTATATATTCAGACTACCAATTCAAGGCCGCTTCACAGCTTTTGCAGATGATAATACTCTTTCTAGGAAAGGGAAAATTTTTGAAACTTTAAAGGACACAATCTCAAGGGACTTAAAAATAATTAAGGAATGGTGTGACACAAATTTATTGTGTTTTAATACAAAAAAAAACCAATCTCATGACATTCAAATTTATTTACAATGACCTCTACCTAGATGCTCGATTAATTGAAAACAGGTCCACCTGCAAGTTCCTTGGGATTCATGTTGACAGCCAGCTCAAATTTTCCACGCACATCAACAGTCTTAACAATAGACTGGCTAGCGGGTGCTATTCTGCCAAAATGGTATATTTCTCTTTAGTAGAATCTCACATCCGGTATGGCATGTTGCTCATAGACACTTTTTGATTCAGTGTTTGTTGTACAAAAAAGGGCAATAAGATTTCTGTGCAGAAGAGGATATCGAGATCATTGCCACTATTCTTGAGACATGAAATTTTGACAGTTTACTGTATTTATATCCTAGAGACAACAACTCTAATGCACAAAAAATTTTA